TGTGTGTGTGTGTGTGTGTGTGTGTGTCTCGCAGAGGGAAATAATGCACTGCTGTGGGTATTTCTCGAAATTCCTGATCTGGCTCTCTCTGCTGGCTGCTTGCATAGCGCACACGCACACGCACACGCCCTCTTTTGGCAGCAGGAGCTGGAGCACGGTGCCAGACTCGGCAGAGAAAATCAAGAAAAATCGCAATGCACAGCTGCTCTCGATGGCCACGGCAGGGCGAAGTTTGAACATCGCGTCGAGATTGGATTTTATTTGGAAATTTTATCGGCGCTGGCTCCGGTGTCGAAGCTTGACTGTCAAAGTGCCTCTTCGGACCTCCTGTGCCGTCGGCTGTCCTTTTCACACACACACATGCCAGTGTGAGTGTGAGTGTCGTGTTGATGTACGCTCTCCGCGCATACTGGCTTTGTATCATGCATCGGATTGGTTCTCTTGCGCTCGGGTTGCGCAGCGAAACTGTGACACTCTCTGTGTTGCTTGAAAGGGGCGACAGCAAGAAAAGCACGCTGCCAGCTCGGCACCTCGGGGCGCTGTGCAGCTTGGGCTGCGAGGTGGCGGCGTGGTGCGTGGAGCGGAGTGCGAATGAGCGTGCCGTGCGGCGACCCAACGGCTCCACTCCTGGCTCCTCGACCCACGAGCGCGTGCCAATCTCGCCTTGGCCTGTCACGCTTGGGCTGGGACGGCGTCTGCACGCAAGCATGCTTGCAAAAGCATTGCGAGCAATGCAAGCAATGCAAGCCAAGCCACACATGCGACACGGGCACCGAGGCGAATTTTGTTAGGCTGGCTGCCAGCAGATGCTGGCCGAGGACGCCGGAGCTGCATGAGATCGGTGGCCGCACGCCTCCAACTTTACTCGAGGCGCGTCGCATTGCTTATGCGTGTGCGTTTGCGTGTGTCAAGAGGAGAGAACCGAGAAATCCACATGGTTGCCGTGACAGCTGAATGGACTCTCCATGCGCGCTCCACGACTCAGTCTGACTGGCTGGCGCTCCTCTTTCCTCTCGTTGCGCGACGACGATCGGAACGGCTGCACCGCGCCTCGTAGCCGAACTCGAGCTCCGTTTTTCTATCCCACTTTCAATTTGTCAGCTACCTTCTCTCTAACACTTGTTTTGAACAATTCATTTCCCGTCGCGGCCGAGTTCTACTGCCTCTACTCGGCCGACTAGCCACTGACCGGGTCTGACGGTTATGACGTCGCAAGCTGTGCTGTCTGGCTACGTGCGAAAAGCACAACTCCTTCACCATGCTCGCCATGCTCTCGTACTGAAGCGACACACGCAATGTGGCGTAACTTGCGGGGCCGCATGAAGGACGGCCATAGGAGCCCCGCAGCTTCGCGGCTACCGCACCGGCTGGATACCGGTCATATCCACATCCCGCCTTCTCTCGCATGCAATGATTGTTGGGGCGGGAGTTCAACGACGGCCCTGCCGGCAACACGCGAGGCTTCCTTCCCGGACTTGTCGGCAGTCGTCGGCCTGAAAAATTGTCCGCGAGTAAAAGGCGCATTTCGGTTTCGGCAAGGCATACAGCACAGAGCAACAACCGCTCCGGGTGATCTTCGGTGGAAAAAGACAGGTTGGCACGACCTGAACGCTCAGCCGGGGCCCACCCAGCCCGAAAGAGATGCAGCGTGGGGACCTGAACTGGCGCGGGGGGCCAAGAGGTGGAGCTGGGCAGGGGCGGGCCAATCACGACGTGAATTTGACTGGCTTTCAGCTGAATCGCACCTGAAATCGCAGCGCCGGCCAACCGCTTTTTCGCAGCCCCGAAAGGCCGGTCGTTTCGGCTCGGCTTCCCCGCCATGATGGATTCTGATTGCATTCGTGGCCGAGGGGCCCATGCGTCACTCTGCTGCTCCTGTGGCCGTGAAATGCGCGGCGCCAGAGTCCCGCAGGGAAGAAGAAATGCGATGTCGACAGCCAAGCGCTTCCAAGCAACCGGCCGGTCGTCGAGTTTTCGACCGGTGCACCGCTTCCACACAGTTGGCCCCGCCCGCCCTTTGCTAGCCGGTCGATCGTGGATATAGATAGACGCAGCGGCTCCTGATCGCTCGTTTTCCTAATTCTTCCCCACTTACTGCATACTGCATCCTCCGCACCGTCAATCCTTCGCTCGCAACATCATCGCCTTGGCTCCCTCGACAAGCCCGCTCGCATCTCAAAGAGGACGCTCCTCATGACACTCCTCGGTCTGGGTCGATCGCAAGCTCGCTCCTCTGCCGCCCGACTCGCTTCACAAAAGCCCCTCTCGCTCGCCGCCAACCTCAAGCACGCATCCGCACCCGCCATGTCGCGCTACTCCTCCTCCTCCACCAACTCGGGCGGCATCGGCAACGGCCCCATGTACGAGGGCCAGTCCGCCATGCCCCATCTGCCCGTGCCCGCGCTCGAGCAGACGTTGAAAAAGTACCTCCGCTCCACCGTGCCGCACCAGACCAAGGAGTCGCTCGCCAAGACCGAGCAGGCCGTCCAGTCGGCGCTCTCGGGCGACGACGCCAAGCTCGTCCAGACGCTCCAGCAGCGCCTCGAGCACCGCGCCACCAACGAGGGCCGCGAGAGCTGGCTGAGCGAATGGTGGAACGACGCCGCCTACATGGCCTACCGCGACCCCGTCGTGCCCTACGTCAGCTACTTTTACTCGCACAAGGACGACAAGACGCGCCGCACCGGCCCCAAGCGTGCCGCCGGTCTGCTCAAGGCCTTCCTCGCCTTCCGCAGGCTGCTCGAGACCGAACAGCTCGCGCCCGAAAAGGGCAAGGCGGGCCCGCTCTGCATGAGGTCGTACAAGTGGATGTTCAACGCCAACCGCATCCCCGAGATGCCCTCGGACACGGCGGTCAAGTACGACTGGAAGGCCAACAACCACCTTGTCGTGCTGCGCAACGGCCACTTTTACGAGTTTGACCTCGTCCACGACGGCCAGGAGCTCAGCGAGGCCGAGATCGAGTCGCAGCTGCAGACCATCCTGGCCGACTCGGCGTCGAGCAAGCCTGCAGCCCAGCCCGTGGGCGCGCTCTCGTCCAACAACCGCGACAAGTGGACCGAGTCGCGCAAGGCGCTGGCGGCGCTGCCGGGCAACCAGCAGGCGCTGGAGCGCATCGACAGCTCGGTCATCGTGGTGTGCCTCGACGAGACTGCGCCGCACAGCATCGAGAGCACCGCCTGGGGGCTGTGGTGCGGCGACGGCAAGAACCGCTTCTACGACAAGCAGCAGATCATCGCATTTGCCAACGGCAAGTCCGGATTCATGGGCGAGCACTCCATGATGGACGGCACCCCGACGCTGCGTCTCAACGACTTTGCGCTGCAGGCGCTCGAGGCGGGCAAGATCGACCTCGGCTCGAGCAAGCGCACCGATCTGCCCGCTCCCAAGCAGATCACCTTCAACACGGACAAGAACGTCGAGGCCAAGATCGCCGAGAGCATCGGCGACTTTGAGTCGCTCATGGGCAGGCACGACCTGGCGGTGCTCGACTTCCAGGGCTACGGCAAGGGCGCGATCAAGAAGTTCAAGTGCTCGCCCGACGCGTGGGTGCAGATGGTGATCCAGCTGGCCTACTTCAAGATGTACGGCAAGCCGTGCCCCACGTACGAGTCGGCGCAGACGCGCAAGTTCAAGTGGGGCAGGACCGAGACCATCCGCTCGGCGAGCGTCGAGTCCAAGGCGTTCTGCGAGGCCATGGAAAGCCACTCGGCCACCGATGCCGAGCGTTTCGAAAAGTTCCAGGCGGCGGTCAAGCAGCACCTCGGCTACGCTAGCGCCGCGGCGGATGGTCAGGGTGTGGACCGCCACCTGTTCGGTCTCAAGAAGCTGCTCAAGGAGGGCGAGAAGGTGCCGGCGATCTACGAGGATGCTGCGTACGCGGCGTCGTCCACGTGGAAGCTCTCCACGTCGCAGATCTCGTCCGAGGTGTTTTCGTGCTGGGGCTTTGGCGAGGTGACGCCGGAAGGCTTCGGATGCGCATACGCCATCAAGGAGAACTCGCTGACGTTCACGCTCACCTCGCTCAAGCTCGGAGCGTCCGATCTGAAGCACTACATCAACGAGGCGGCCGTGGAGCTGCGCGACCTGCACCTGCGTCTGCAGCAGAACGACGCGCCCAAGAGCAAGGCCTGAGCGCGCACCAAGGGTGTAGATTCAGTTTGGCATTGCGAATACGATACATAGACTTTTGACATGGTGCGAGGGCGAGTGCGAGATGGGGTGGCTGAGAGCGATTTTTGTGGTCGACTTTTTGCAGCAGCATTTTTTAGGGAAATCGGGGAGTGCGTTAAAGACGCGGGATTCGGAGACGGCAAGACGGGTGTGTGGAGGCGGCGGCCAAAAAAACTTGTCGAGGCTGCGTTCAGGCTTCGCTCGACGGCCACCATAGGAAGGATGCTGCGGTCAATACTGCGTACAGCGCGGCCGGCAGGGTCATTGTCGAGGCTGGTGGTGGGCTCGCTCGTACCGCCTGCGTCAAGTCGACTGGTGGGATTGCGGTTGGTATCATCCAGCGCAGTTTTCGGCGAGGAGGCGAGTTCAAGTTGCGCACCCGCCCCAACCGCAACCACAGCCGCAAGCGCAACGGCGGATGGCTTTGTTCCACGCCGCACGTTCGCCTTGCCATCGACGACGCCGTCGTGGTATGCGGGGCACATGGCGCGGGCCATCCGGTCCATGCCCTACCTCCTGGCGCGCTATCCTCCACCGCTCGTGATCGAAGCGCGCGATGCACGTTTGCCGCTCACCTCGATCAACCCGGTATTCGAGCAGCTTCTGCGACGCGCACCCACGGCCAACGAAGGACTCGATACCGAAGGCGGTGCCTCGACCTGGCGTACCCGCCGGCTCATCGTCTACCTCAAGCGCGACCTCATCCATCCCTCGGTCGAAGCGAGCATCACAGAGGCACTGCGCCAACAGGATCCCCTCCAGCACGTCATCTTTGTCGACTCCCGAGTGGACGCCGACGTGAAGAAGGTCTTGCACTGGGTCGAGCGTCAGGCGCGAAGGATCGATCGAGACCAAGACGCGGGTGCGCCGGCGCAGGTGTCGGAAAAGGCAGCCCGACGCGCAAAGAAGGGCCTCAGCGGCGCCTTTCGCCACACGCCCACGCCGGAAGAGGGCGTGAGACTGTTGATCCTCGGCATGCCCAATGTGGGCAAGAGCAGTCTGCTGAATGCGCTGCGCAGGGTGGGCACGGGAAAGGGAAAGGCGGCCAGCACTGCCCCGCATCCGGGCCATACGCGCAAGCTCACGGGTACCGTGAGGATCAGCAAGGCCGGCCCCACCAAGCAGCCGCCCGAACCTCCTGCGCCGTCTCGACGCGGCGCTAATCGTGCCCGTGTCGACCAAGATCAAGATACAGCGGACACGGCAGGGGAGGGCGCGTTCATGCTTTCCACGCAAGAAGCCAGCCCGGCTGACGAGGGCGAAAAGAAGCGGGGTGTACCGATCTACGTGTACGACACACCGGGTGTGATGGTACCCTTCCTCGGCCATGGATCCGCCGGTGCCGAACGCGGCATCAAGCTCGCCATTACCGCAGGCATCAAGGACTCGCTGTTCGACGTGCAGCTCCTCGCCGACTACCTGCTGTACCGTGTGAACTTGCGACCTTCTCCGCCGGATAGCTTGCCAACGTATGTGCAGAATCTGCCGCTGTCGATGAGCGAGTACCTTGCGACGTGCGAGGATGCGCGGGGCAGGACCAATTCGATCTCCGAGCTGCTGTGGCATGTGGCGGGCAAAGCGCCCGGCTCGCTTCGCAAGGGTAACGTACGCGATCTGGATGCAGCAGCTCAGTTCATGCTGCAGCATTGGAGGACTGGAAAGCTCGATGCGAATACCGAGCTGGACCTCAACACTGTCGATCACGAAACCATCCGGCAGCGGGTGCAAAGCTTCTTCGAAACCGGTCTGCTCGCCGACTCGGGCGTCGTGACTGATAAGACGCTCGATCCGATTCCCAATGCAAGCGACTCGGCAGAGGCGAGGGGCGAGAGCAAGAACCAGGAACGCAAACGCGTCAAGAAGGCCGAAGTGCTGCAGCGCAAACACAAGCTCATGGCCAAAGGTATTGCGGTGGGTGCCAAAGCCAAGCACAAGCGAAAGTTCAAGTGAGCCGACCCAAGCGAGGCCGTAGGCATGGATCCAATGCGCTCTGCCTCGAGATCAATGCACTGCCTTGGCTCGTCCAACCGCGCCCGTAGCGCAAATGCCTTCTCAAGCCAGTTTGGTAACGCGGGCATGCTCGGCATTGTTCAACGCTCGCACTCACTGCGACGCGGGACAAACTGCAGCCGGAGCATGAGCCGAACACGGCACCCACGCCAGAACTGTCCACAAGCACAAACAAGCGCCAGAGAAAGTCGCGCACCATCTTGGCCTCACGCTGTGGCCGAGACGCAGACAAGTGATGCCCATCAAGAAAAGCAGTCAATCGATCACCCCCACATCTCTGTACTTGTACGCATCGATGAAACGCATTACCACATTGCCTGCGACAAAACCCGGACTCGGATCTAGTTCTTGGGCTTGTACTCGGTGGGGCCGAGCATGAACTCGGGACGGACGATCTTCTTGAACTCCTCCTCGGTCATGAGACCGAGCGCAACGGTGGCGTCGACGAGCTTGGTGCCCTCCTTGTGCGCCTTCTTGGCCGCGGCAGCGACATTGTCGTAGCCGAGGTGCGAGTTGAGGATGGTGGCGAGCATGAGCGACTCGTTGAGGATCTTGTTGATCGTATCGCGGTTCGCCTCGATGCCCACAACGCAGTTGTTAGTAAAGGATCGTGCACCGTCAGCCAACAGACGAATCGACTGGAGCAGGTTCTTGACCAAAACAGGCTTGAAGACGTTCAGCTCAAACTGACCGTACGAACCGGCAACCGAGATGGTAGTGTTGTTGCCCATGACCTGGGCAGCAACCATGGTGAGCGCCTCGCACTGCGTAGGGTTCACCTTGCCCGGCATGATCGACGAGCCCGGCTCGTTCTCCGGCAGGCTCAGCTCGCCAAGACCACAGCGAGGACCCGAGCCGAGGTAGCGAATGTCGTTGGCGATTTTCATGAACGAGACGGCAACCGTGTTGAGCGCACCGCTCGCCTCGACAATCGCATCGTGCGCCGCAAGCGCCTCAAACTTGTTCTCGGCGGTCTCAAAGGCGAGGCCGGTGATGTTGGAGATCTCGGCGGCGACCTTCTTGTCAAAGCCAATGTAGGTGTTGAGGCCGGTGCCGACGGCGGTGCCGCCCTGGGCGAGCTGCGAGAGGCGCGGCAGGACGGCCTGGACGCGGAGGATGGCGTTGTCGACCTGCTTGACGTAGCCGGAGAACTCCTGGCCGAGGGTGAGCGGCGTGGCGTCCTGGAGGTGGGTGCGGCCGATCTTGATGATGTCGTCGAACTCGGCGCGCTTCTTGTCGAGGGCGGCGCGGAGGTGTTGGAGGGCGGGGATGAGGTTGTTGGTGATCTGGGTGACCGAGGCGACGTGCATGGCGGTGGGGAAGGTGTCGTTGGAGGACTGGCTCATGTTGACGTGGTCGTTGGGGTGGACGGGGTTCTTGCTGCCGAGCTCGCCGCCGAGGATCTCGATGGCGCGGTTGCTGATGACCTCGTTGACGTTCATGTTGGTCTGGGTGCCCGAGCCGGTCTGGAAGACGACGAGGGGGAAGTGGGAGTGGAGCTTGCCGGCGATGACCTCGTCGGCGGCCTGGCAGATGGCGTCAGCGACCTTGGCGTCGAGACCGAACTGCTTGTTGACGGTGGCGGCGGCCTTCTTGAGCACGCCAAAGGCCTCGATGAGCGGCTCGGGCATGCGCTCCTGGGGTCCACCAATGTCAAAGTTCTGGAGGGAGCGCTGGGTCTGGGCGCCCCAGTAGCGGTCGGCGGGCACCTGGAGCGGGCCGAAGGTGTCCTTTTCGGAGCGGAACTTGCCCTCAGACATGGTGAATGCGGAGGAGGCGAAGCTGCGGGCGATGGCGGGGTGAGCAGAGGCGATGGCGAGACGCGGGGCGACGCGAGCAGATCCCTGGTAACCAAAAAAGGAAGTGTAGCGTTAGCACGAGAAGGTTGAGGATGATGATGGTGATGAAGGGAGTGAGCAACGAGGACGAGCGACTGCGGCGGACGGGCCAACTGGCGGCGTAGCGAGGCGTGGCGAGGCGTAGCGCGTGCTGGGCCGTGCACCCAGGCGAGAGAGAGAGAGAGTGACTTTGCACCGGATCCAGCCGCCGCGTTTGGGCAATTCATGCAACCCCGCATCTTTCCGATGGTGGTGCTCCGCATGCACTGCAGACAACAACGCTTCGAGCACTGCCCATCCAAGGTGTTGGTGCGAGCATCGCCGCTACTTGCGCGTTGGAGAGCAGCATGGGAGCGTATTTGTGCCGCAACACGAGAGGCAATCGTTGGCGATGCGAAAAATCATTTTTAAACGGCGTCCTTTTCGGCCATCCTTGCTGATTTTTTGGCCGCCTCCCCCTCATCGCGGCCCTCCTGGAATCCTCGTGCGGCTGTTGGTGTCCAAGTTGCTCCGAGTAGCGGTGCATTTGAGCGACTTACCCTGAGGGATCGAAGAGCGACCGATCGAGCAACCATTTTGTACAGGTAAGTGTGCGTGGGTGTGTGCGTGTGTGAAGAGGGAGGATGTGGGTGGAGAGAGAGAAGCGGCAGGAAGAATCACGGAGCTGATGAGGATGACGGTGCACTTGGACCGGCGTGCTTGTTCGAGTTCGACCGGATCTGCTCGGCGACCCTCTCACGCTCTCTCTCTCTCTCTCTCTCTCTCT